TTAAAATCAAGTGCACCTAGAATTATGACCTAGTTAAGATAGAAACATTTTGGTCATCAGTTTTTATGGGCAAAGGATGTAATTTTCAAATTAATATCAATTATAAGAAGAATATTTAACTATAAAATAATTTTCTTATTTTTCCTTAAAAAGTGTACGACACCGGGTACACTGACTCTCCTATTTTAAATGCTGTTTAGCATAGAAAACAAATGTTTCTCTGATTGATGAAGTAATGTGGATGCCTTACTGGTAAAAATAGACTGTACTGGATGAAAATGATAAATGGCCGGAAAACTGCTAGGGAACGGAAACCAGTATATTAAAGATATTTTGCAACTTCTAATGTTCTTCTAAAGTACTTTTAAATTCAAAAAGCAGTAAACAAAAGTAAAATTGAATAAAAATTATACGCTATTCAAATAAAACAACCATATAAAGTTTTATTTATTTAGTAACATGGTTTATTCAGAGCAGTTGATATGGTAGCAATAAAATATTGAATTGAGGTTGAATAAATAATTAAAAAGTCACATATCCACTTATCCATTCTTGGACTTGTATTAAATTGGAAATTTCATTAAATATCAACAATGCCTATTAATGTGAACTTGTGTTATTTTCATTAAATTTTTAAAAGTGGATGCTGCAAATTAAAATTTTTACACTAATTTGGCCATAGAAACGGGTCTATTACAAAGCAATACGTACTTCATTTATTCTGTCAACAAGCAGACCAAATAATGCGTCAGGCATACAATCTTTAGCCATCTTGGTTATTTCAAGAGGCATTTACTTTTGTGAAGAAATCGATAAATTTGTTAGCTTCGTCAATTTGCAAAAGCTTTCTTGGCAACAAAATGGCCTCTAACCGGAAGTGCTCTTTAATAGGAGGAAATGCACTTGATTTACAATTTAATTAATTTTTAGTTTTTCTTAGTAATCAAACAAATAAAGATATAGATTTGGATATTGAGCGCATGCTTATCTAATAATTTTCTTGAACATTCATGATGTGATCATTTTTATATATAGCTGGACAGAAACTGTTTTATTAAAAGCTGGACCGTGATATTTCAAGAAATCGACACTGGAGAAAGTAATCTATCTACCGGTTTGAACTTGTTCTTTACGAGAAAGTTGTAATCAGGACGATCCAAACAAATTGCAAAATTCACAAATTAATAAAAGAAGGAAGAGAGTTTATTTGTTTATCAACCTCGACATCTTTATCTAAATAATTGAATTATTTACCATTGTTTAATAAAATAAAAAGGTTAGATTTTTTTCTTTAAATCTGCTCAAAATGGAGATTGATTCTGAAGCCAAATCAATTTATTAAATCATGTAAGTCAGTGCTTGAACTGTTGACAGGTTGAAGCATATTCATTATTGTGAGATAAATTCTTAAGATAATTAGCAATGTATTAGAACTTTCCATATTGTTTTGACTGCACTGGTACAAATAATTATCAAGCTGTGGAAACATGTATATCCGGGTCTAAAAAATGGTTTGATTTTCTCCTCAAAAGATGTAATTTTGACTACAGGAGCTTGATATGGGGTAGTCAAAGCCCGGGGCGGCAAAGCTCGGCTATAGACTACAGGTGTATATTTTAAAAGAAAAAAGAGAAAACTATATATATAATTCTATACCTATAAGCGAAATTTTCAGTATCATTTCTTTTTGGGTGCCGCAAGGAAATGATAAACGGTGGTGTATGCCGATAAAAGCCAATCACAACTTTTCAACTTACAAGATAACAATAAGAGCTGAGGAATTCTGATTGAAAACTGATGCGAAGAATGGTTATACGCTTATTTTAACAGACTTCAGCGTTCAAAGGCCTTGCCATATTTCATATTATTCTGTATGTATGTAGTTTATGTTTAATGAGGGTACATACCCCGGTATGGCACAAAATGCAGCTTTCACTGTCAAGTACGGACCCTGAACATGACGCCAGTCATGCCCTTAAAGAGTTAATTTTGAAGCGCAAAGTGGTGATAATTTCATCAATACGATTTCCACAGAGTATTAGCCAAAGATATGAATTTTGAGCCAAAAGTAGGTCACTGTGTGACGGTCAATGATAACCTTAATGTACAAATGTACTGTTAGTAACCTGAGAAATAATGAAAGGAGGTAGTCCTTAAAAGGGCTTTTGGTGCCAAGGAAAGGGCCTGTCTTACAAGCCTTCATTTGTACTAGGGCTCATGCACCCTAGTATGTTGATATTGTGTCAATAAGAACTACAGTTAAATGTGTACCCCTATATACCGTTAATAAATATACACAAGGAATGCAATGTCTTTTCACTGAGCAGGCAATATTTTTTCATTACAGATATAGAAGAACAATGTTGCAGCTGGAAGTATTGATGATTTTGCTTTCTTCAGTGTCGGGTATAAATCTAACTTTGAAAAAAAATTATAGTACAGTGATAGAATCAATTAAATGAATAGTCCTCTTACTGCAAAATAGCTATGAAAAACTAGCACAGTCTAATGTAATGATTCTTGTTTTTTTTATCATTCTTGCATTTATTTGAAAAGAATTTATTGTTTCATTTTGCCAAACTTACATGTCCTTAAAAAGAACTTCAAAACATTGAAAAGTGATCGAAATGAGCAAAATAATTTTGAAGGGTTCAAGGTTATGCGGCTTCAGGTTGAATAATTATACTATTAAAAAAATAATATATACCCATTTATTTCAGAACATCTATGATTGAATTAAAGAAAGTCTCTATATTTGTTACATTAATAATCCAGTTTAAGGGATACAAGATTTTTACATTAACAGATTTACTGAAACTATGTAATATTTTAATTACAAAAATGCAAGACTTTAACTGCAATAGATTTGCTGAAACATTGTTATATTTTAGTTACAGGAATACAAGATTTTTACTGTGATCGATTTGCTCAGTCTATTATGGGTGTAACGGAGGGTAGGATCATATCACGTTATCAAGATCAGGCATTTTATAGTAATGACATGTCTTGCCAATGGGAACTTGATGCATTAGAAAATGGGCGCATACAGTTAACTGTGGAGAATCTGGATCTACAGTGGAATCCTGAATATTCTTCATGTTCTGGATATGATCATCTTGAAATATTTGAAGGTAATAATTATTGTTAAATGGTATGATGTCATTCCTGTTAAAGGCACATTATGCTTCAGAAATAAATAAGTTTTTATTCAATTTTTGAAAATGGACATGTATAACCATCCGGTTATTTCGATAGGTAGAGCGTTGGACTGTGAATTGGGTGAACCTGGTTCAATTCCCGGACGGTGCTGGTCACTTTCGTTGTGATTGATCATGATATCTTTTCTACGGTCATTAGCATTGTACCTCTGCTGAACAGAACAGAACTTCTGAACAGAAGTTTCAGTTCATTTCTAAACTGCTTGACTGTGAGCCAGCCCAGGAACGATGTGGTGGCTTTACTATGCTCTTGTAAATTCATTGTGGCTAACTGCTGTGATCCTGAGTGAAAACTACCAACACCACCCCCTAAGTGAACATGTGAATTTTATTACATTTAATTAATGGTTTTAGAGCATGAGAGTCAAGATTGTAAGATGCTTATCACCTGAAAAAGAAGTGCTGTATGTAAATTTAATATTTGTAATAAAAGTAGCAAAACTATTTGACAGTAAAAAATTTCTCTCCGTAACAGGCAAACAGTATGTTCCTTATTTAATATGAAATAAATACAAAAAAAAAATCAATTTTAACTGTAAATAACCTGATCTCTTGGTTTTTAACTGCCGCTTCAAGACCATATCTTTCATTTTTTGTTATCTATTTTAGGATCGGAAAAGAACCATACACACTTGACATCAGTTTGCCATGCAAAGAATCCGCATAGTATAATTTCAACTGGAAGATATTTATATATGAAGTTCACTTCAAATCATCAGAACTTTGGTGCAAAGAGTGGAATTGAGATCAAATTTAAGACCTTTAGTAAGTGTTGCAGTGTTAGATATTGGATTAGAAATGTTTTGTGCTAATACTTCTCTAGTGTGAGTGTTTTGGGTAAAGATGACTGGCCTGAATTACAAATGTAGAGCCAGGTTAGTCTTTATATTTGTGTGGTCTGATATATGGTATATTAACTCAGACTAGTCGGTATATTTGATATATGGTATATACTCAGGCTAGTCTGTATATTTGTGTGGTCTGATATATGGTGTATAGTTGGGCTAGTCTGTATATTTGTGTGGTCTGATATATGGTATATAATCAGGCTAGTCTGTATATTTGTGTGGTCTGATATATGGTATATACTCAGGCTAGTCTGTATATTTGTGTGGTCATATATATGGTATATAATCAGGCTAGTCTGTATATTTGTGTGGTCTGATATATGGTATATACTCAGGCTAGTCTGTATATTTGTGTGGTCTGATATATGGTGTATAGTCAGACTAGTCTGTATATTTGTGTGGTCTGATATATGGTATATACTCAGGCTAGTCTGTATATTTGTGTGGTCTGATATATGGTATATACTCAGGCTAGTCTGTATATTTGTGTGGTCTGATATATGGTGTATAGTCAGGCTAGTCTGTATATTTGTGTGGTCTGATATATGGTGTATAGTCAGACTAGTCTGTATATTTGTGTGGTCTGATATATTGTATATAATCAGGCTAGTCTGTATAATTGTGTGGTCTGATATATGGTATAGAGTCAGGTTATTCTGTACCTGTTTAGTCTGAAATATGATATAGAGTCAGGTCAGTCTGTATCTGTGTGGTCTTATGTTTTGTATATAATTGGGTTAGTCTGTAAAATGTCCAAAAAAAAGCAAGTCCTTCATATAGGTTAAATTGAAATATAAAATGCCTGAATACAAGACAAATGCATGTCTATGGTTTGACTGTGACTTGTTAGCATGACATGCTAAGTGAAATGGACAACTTTACATCTTTATTTTTTATAATTTTGAATTAAAGAATTTATAAATGTACATGAACAACATGTTTACTTAAAAAAATGTTTTTTTCTTGATAAAATAAAAGATAATTTGAATTAGAATGAAAATACAACTTGCTATTATTTAATTGATACTGATATATAATTAAACTTTTATTTCACCCAAATGTAATAAATTATCTTAATTGTCAGGAGATGGATATTGTCCACCAAGTTGGTTCCAAGCTTCTGTATCCTCTGAGGACTGTTTTATGGTTGGACTAAATGGGCAGGCAGGATGGAGCCGGGCTCAAGATATTTGCAACTTTAACAGAGCTAATTTAGCGAGCATTTTGTCGGATTCTGAATACAATGCTATTTTAGGTATATATAATTTATGATGCCTATGTAGAGCTAGGATGACTAGATACTCAACAATTTAGCTTTGATTTCATCACCATAGTGCAGTAATAGGTTACATTTTTCTAAATTTAATAGGCATTAACCAGTTATTGCACTAAGGTGATGATTTGATGTATTCTTGTAATCACTGGTCATAATCATCCAATATAACTGAATCATGTTATTCAGATATCATTTTAGCCCTGTCATGACAAAACCAACATAGTGCGTTTCGACCAGCATGTATCCAGACCAGCCTGGGCATCCTCACAGACTGATCAGGATCCATGCTGTTCGCTTACCAACCCTATTTACAAGTAGAGATTCTGATAGCGAACAGCATGGATCCTGAATATACTGCGCAGGCTGGTCTGGATCCATGCTGGTCGCAAACCCATTATGTTGGTTTTGTCATGGCACAGCTCAATTTTATGTATTGTTTTGTTGATTAAGTAATAGATTTCACGCCTAGGAAGATATTAGCAACATGTTCAGACAGGGTATGCTGTAGCCTTAATCATAAGGCGTGTCTGACTCTCATTTATGCACAATATAAATTACTTTTTGTACATGCATTTGCAATTTCCTACAAATGACTGGAAACAGTGTTACATTGATAAGTAGCCTAATTAATTCGTCATGAGGGGTTTGACTCATTGTCAAACTTTTTTTCATACTGTCAAAGACATCGCCTGTCTAACATTATCTTGATGTCTCTTTGACAAGTCTAGTTAGTTGGACTACATTGATAAGTAGCAAAGGCTAACTTGTCTAAATGGTTTTGAAGCAACTAAAACTAAGTCACCATATGTATTGTTTCATGTATATCACAATACTGTTAAACAAATTTATTTTCAGTGCATGGAAGAAATCAGTCAGCAATGTTAACTCAAGCCTGGCTCGGCCTGAGTGACCGTGATAAAGATGGGACATACAAATGGATAGATAAACATTCTCTAGCTTATAAAAGGTTTATGATTTAATACTTTAAATTCATTGAAATTCATAGGCATGGAATTTTGAAAATTTCGGTTTTGTCAGGAAGGACTTAAAGTCGTGGATTTTCAGGGGGGGGGGGGTTAGCAAAAAATAGCATGCAAATAAAGAAAATTATATTATTGTACAGCAGACTTTATCACTTCAAATCATTAGAACTTTGGTTCAAAGATTGAAATTGAGATCAAATTTAAGATGTTTAGTAAGTTTTAGGATAGAAATGATTAGTGCTAAAAGTTCTATCTTGAATTTGTGCATTGACATATCCAAGAAAACTATAAAAATTAGTGTTCCAAGAATTATAATGATTTTGCAGTATAACCCTTATCCTTCCCATTCTGGAAAATGGACTTGCCCAGCTTTTTACTTTGGAACAGTCCATAAGTAGTTGAAGGGAGTACTAAATCAAATTTTTAAAGTTCAGTAGCCAAAAGTGTATAATCTGCATCTGATCAGACTGTAGGGATTTTATGGCTCTAGAATGGTTGCATTTGAACGTCTTGCCACTTTACCCATTATTTTTTGAAAGGGTGATATTAGCTCATGTGAAAATATTAGTCTGCTCACAAACAAGAGGCTGGTAATTCAGAATTCTATACATGTGATAATGTGCTTCCTTAAAGCGTATTAAGCTATATCTTATGAAATATTTTTATAAAACTATATTGTTTCCTTTAATTTATACATGTAGTCTATTCTCGAAAAAGTTGTAACATAGAATGTCTCTGTGATTAAACACTCATGAATATTGTTAAAATAATAAACTGTTCTGGAACAAAATTTTATGTTGCCATATTAAGTACTGTAGGGTTTCCATCATTTAGCAATGATTTCTTGCATCTGTCAGTCACTTTTAAGGCAAATATACTAACATATGTATTTTTCATACAAACATTTTTTAAGTATTCTCTTTAAAAATTTGAAAAAGTAATTTGCAGCAGATATATAGCTTTATACACTATAATAAAAAATTTGATGCAAAGTTAAATAGTTGAGCCTTAAAACAGGTACATACATGTTGATCATTTTTGTGAATATTTGCAGGAAAATGACGGGGAAAAGATATGACACGTTTTGTATTGCTCAAGATTATAGGACCGGCGATTGGAGTGTGCTCAACTGTGATAGTCAACACTTCTATATCTGTAAATGTAAAAAAGGTTAGTTCTGAATTTTTATCACCTTTTAATTTTGTGTGGTTATATATGTCTGATTAATAAGTATATTAAGTAAAAACAGAACAAAATATTCCCTAACAAAACAAGTTAATATCTTTTTATGCCCCCGGGCATATAGTAATTGAACCGTCCGTCTGTCCGTACGAGGTTAACCTAGAACGGCAAGTTGGATTTTTCTTAAGTTCTACCTGTACCAATGGCTTCTAAGTTTACACACTTACTAATCAATACAAAGTACACGATCTGGGCAAGTTTCATAACTCTGGCTTTCATATTTACCAAGTTATTGCCCTTTTCAGCACTTAGAAAATGAATAATGGTTAACCTAAAATGGCAAGTTGGAAATATCTTAAGTTCTATCTAAACTAATGGCTTTATAATTTCCACACTTACTTATCAATACAAAGCACATGATATTGCCAAGTTATATAACTGTGTCATCCATATTTCCCAGTTATTTCCCTTTTTTCACTTTGAAAATAGGGCCTTGTCTGGTTAACCTATTTCGGCAAGTTGGATTTATCTTAAATTTCTCCTAATTGCTGAATTTCTTTACTGCTATCTTTCATATTTAGTAGGTGGATACCTTTGATGGTCCTCTAATTTTTGTTAGAGTAAGCGGTCTCTAGGGTCAAGGTCACTGATTTAAAAAATAAATATAAACCTTTTTGCTCATACAGCCTTTATATTTTAGTTGATGTTTTAGTTTAATACAAACATGGGACGTCCTCCTTCTTTGGGTGTAGTAAGGGGTCATTTGGGTCAAGGTCAATGTTACCAATGTCAAGGTCACCAATGTTAAAAATAGATTTTTATATTTTTACAGGTGTATTGACCTTATTCTATAGACAGATGTTATTTATAATTGATAGAAACATAAACTTTGATGGAGTTCAGGGCTCATCCGGAAGGGCGATTCAGGCGATAACTTCGCCGTGTATATTCCAATTTCGCTCTCCCGATTGATCAAAGAGAAGTCAACATCGCCGATAAAATCTTAATTCCCAAATAGTAATTACTTAGCGATGTAAAGAGCAGAGATTGTATCCGCCCATATGACGACCGTATCATTATCCAATCAGAGCGTCGCTTTATACTACCCTTCTACCTGTAAGCAAAGCGATAGACCGCCTACTCTAAACAGTAAATAATGAGAGCATCGGCCCGAAACGGTATGATAGTTTTGCGAGATTAATACGGGATTTGGCGATAATTATAGATTGTTTTTTTCCCGATTATCTAAACACGTGCAATCTTCCCTAATTGATATACACGATGCACTTCGATGGTGGGTTTTAACCCGAGTACAGGGCGATGTGTAATGGATTTTTCACGGCTATCACAAAACTGTTAGTCAATTAAAAATAATCAATTTCATTAATGATCAGCGACAGGATTAAAAACTTAATCCTAGTTTTGAATGATTTCAGTCTGTTAACATCAATTTTCACTGTAAAATTGTTATGTCGCTCACGTCATGGCTACAAGGCGAATTAATGCCGAAACCGAGCAACTTAAGAAAGTTATGATTACTGATTCTGAATGATAGTTACACCTACGCGAAAATTTAAGAAAGCCAATTCGCAAAAATCTTGCGATTGGTATGTTGTAGACAGTGGGTTGTTCTCTTTGTAGAAATGCCAAATTTGACACAGTTTACGCACGTGGGCACGACATCCCGGCTAAACTACATATCGGTCGTATATCATGTAACGTATATAACAACACAATTTGTCAGGAAAGAAGTGTTCTTTTTGTTTCAATATATATATTTGTTTTAATGTCGTAAATTACGGTAAATATGATGCTCAGATTAAGATTTATCAATATTGTAAATTTTAAATAGCATTATTTATAAAGATATTACCGAATTTAACATTTCATGAAAATAAAGGGAGGTAATTAGAAATAAATTTTCTACAATTTCTCAGTCAATTTTTCAATAAGAAATGAATGTATGTAATTTTTTAGTGATCAAAATATAATGTGCACAAATGTTTGCAGTACATATTTTACATATTATTTGATGTTTGAAAAAATTGTTTTATAAGCATAATTATATGCATATAAATGTGACATTACAACATTCAGGAATATGAAAGAAATTTTTGTCACCAAAACAGAATAGAACATATATTATTAATAAATATCCAATGTGACCTCATCTTCTGTTAAAGAGTGAGGAAAGTAAAGAATATAAAATTGATTTTATCATCATATTCTTTCCTATACACATTATCAACAAATCTACATGAAAATATAATAAACACATATTTAGAGAAAGCTTATAAATAGCTGATCAATAGATATCAAAATAAATTTTTTTTATTCATATTTGCAGCTCAAAAACATTTAGATGCCATTGCCAGATCTACTATTGATTAATCTACTATTAATTAATACTACTATTAATTAATCTACTATAACTATTAATTAATAAACTGGAGAAATATTATATGTGTGTTTATATCATAATTAAAGGATGTATAGCCATGCATGTTAATGCATACACATTGGGTTGTTTCCATTCTCCCTAATTTTCGCGAGGAAGTCACTTCTCCCTAAAATTTCCCCCCAGGATGAGCCCTGGAGTTAGTGGTCAGTTGGGTCAAGGTCACCAGTGCTAAAAATAGATTTTTACACATTTGCTCATACAGCCTTTATTAAGTGACAGATATATTTTATATTTGGTAGGAAGATAACTTGCATGGTATTCATCCTTTTGATTGGGGTAGGGATCAGTGGGTCAAGGTCACTTGTGCTAAAATAGATTCTTACACCTTAGCCCATACAGCTTTCATTTATTGACAGTTGTATTTCATATTTGGTAGGAAGATAACTTGCATGGTATTCTTCCTTTGGATGGAGTAAGGGGTCAGTTGGATCAAGGTCACACGTGCTAAAAATAGATTTTACACTTTTGCCCATTACAGCCTTTATTTATTGACAGATGTATTTCATATTTGGTAGGAAGATAACTTACATGGTATTCTTCTTTTGGATAGAGTTAGGGTCAGTTTTGGTCAAGGTCACCAGTGCTCAAAATAGATTTTTACACTTTTTGCCCATACAGCCGCCTTTATTTAATGACAGATGTATTTCATATTTGGTAGGAAGATAACTTGCATGAAGTTGAATATTTTTCAACTTCACAAGTCAGAGCAATGACTTGACAACTTATATTTTTCACAATTAGCAAAATGCCATGACTTTGTCAAGCTATAAAACTTGTGTTTACAATTTTTTGGTGATTTTTTCTGTCCATAAAACTGAGTGAATGGGTAAACATTATGAAGTACTTACTGAACAAAGAATCTGAGCCGGGGGCATTTGTGTTTTAAAACAAAACACTTCTTGTTTGTTCCTAGAGATGGGATGGGAAGGGACTGGGATTGGGACAAAGTGATTCCTCATATTAGCCCCATAATTTTTTGGTGAGGGGATAAAAATTTTTCGATATTATAAGCGTAAAATTTAAAAATGATGTTAGTTAAGTAAATTTATATTATGAATAGTACAAAAGGATTAAAAAATTAATTCTGCAGATCTTACTGAGAAAAAAAATTCACAAAATAATAAGGCATAAATACTTTGAAAAACTGTTCAAGTGTTTTCCTATTACAGATGGCATTCACTGTTATTAATAGTAGGCCCGACCCACCAACACCCTGCACCGAAAAGGGTAATAATAAGAGTATACTCATTTAATACTAGGTTGCTTTTAATATAGAATCAAAATTTAGGGGTATTTCAAGGGCATTATATTACAAAGATTTTAGGTCATTATGCAATTTTGGGCCACCTTGCTGATAAAACATTATTTTCCCTAATGCAACTGAATAAAAGGCAATCAAAATGACGAATCAACCCCCAGTGACTTTTAAAAGGGCTGCTGTCGTTGAATGAACTATAGTTGCTCGCACACAAAATTTTAAGTTTACACATAATCACAATCAACAAAGCTTAACATTGAAGATTTATAAACTCAAGAAAAAAATATCCAATAACTGTGCTCAAGCCAAAACATGACCCTCAGAAATTCAAAAAATGTCATAAAGCAGAAATTTAAAAACAATATTAAAGTTTAAAGATTATATCTAGTTGTCTATATGATATAAATCTTGATCTAGGGCTTCATGTCCAGATAGGAACTAGCAACAAAGGAACTAGAACTTAGGACAAGACCGGGAAAATATCAGTGGCATTTATAACTAGATTTGTGACTTGACAACATTAGAACGGTTCTTTAAAGCACACAAGTTCATAAAATAACTTGCACTTGAATGTTATTATCGCTAAGAAATATTAAAAGTATTTATCAATATAAACAGCAATAAAACAACATTTTCTCATCTTTATTTTGTGTTATCATGTTTTCTAAGTTAAATGGTGGGTTAAACTGATAAACAGATATTTGTTTACATTAACAACTGTCTGTTTCTTAGAAAGGGCGACAACCAGGATTATCAGTAATGTGTAAAGGCTGTGTTTTCGTCATAGGCATTAAAGACATTTATACTAGGTTGCTGCTTGCCATTATGCAATATTGGCCCTCGAATCAATAATGTCCTTTGGGTCATTATTGCATAATGGCAAGCAGCAATCGAGTATTAACATCTAAATGATATGTGGCTTCCTATATGTTAATGAAACACTTATGTGTACTTAATTTACATGAAACTTATAACTAAATATAAACTGATGACCTTTTGATTTATTGAATTTCGTTAAAAGCTATTATGCCTCAGAAATCCATATTTTCTTAATTCTTTAGAAGTGTGTGCTTAAAATGTTTTTATAATGGATTTAGAGCATGTTAGATGTTTAACAACTGAAAAAATTAGCACTTGTCATGCAGTAATGTGTCATAAAGGTAGCAAAAAGTTAACAAAGTAGTATTTTTGACTTCAGTAAAAAAAAATACTTATTCTCAAATTAAACCAAGTGTCAAAAGAAGCAAAATAAAGTTCATCTAAACA